ATACAGTTCCCACCATGCAGAGTTTGGATCATCCTGAATTCCTAAATCCTTTTTTTTGCCATCAAATCCCAGAATTGATCAGGCCTGCAGAGGACGAGTCAAAAACAGATGTAGAAAGCATCTTCATGAATGTCACTTATCAGTGCATGGAACGAAGCAGAGTTCCTGTGTACGAAAGCATAGAACTAAAACCACAATAAATGAAATGGTGATCATGGCTGCGTGACCTCCACGAAAGCAGTCTTGGCCCCATCTATATTAACTTGCCAAACCAGTGTAATACAAGGTGGCTATGCTGGAAGAGCCATGTTTAGACTTCAGTGCTTGTTTTCAAACATGAGTCAGAGCGCAAAGCCTTGACATTTCTCAAAGCTGAAGTTTATTTTGAGGATGTGCATGTGGCCAGCAAGCGGTCTGAGCAGCTGGGCACAAAAGGAATAACCAACTGACGTGGTTATCACGCTGGAATCATCCATAGTGCAGTGTGAAAGTGGGCAAGCAGGTGAAAGTGGCATTACCTTTTAAGGTGCTTTACCATAAATTGGCAGAGAGCTACACAACCAAATCTGTTGCTCTTCCTTCTGCTAACCACAGCTAAGAATTTTCTTTCACTTGCAATTTCATTCTTTGGAAAGTGTACTGATGCAGTTGAGAAAACTCCTATGCCCCTCCGCCCCCCAAAAAAACCCAGTTGACTACACTAAATCGTTTAGTAGAAGGTGAGAGGAAGAGTGGGGAATTACACACCCGGCACAGACTGAAAGTCAGGAGCTTAGATGTGCATGAGAACAGTAACCAGGAAAAAAAAAGCAGTTCTTTATGTGTTTTCCCATATAATCTTTCTGAATGTCTCTTTGCAGATGGCAGCGTGGGAGGAAAACCTGGAATTCCAAAACACAGTCCTAGTATCTAAAAAGCTCTTTGCAAAAGCAGCTAACTGCAGGAAACAGAACAGGGCAGAAGACTTTAAAATTGCTTTTAAATTCAAAATTTTACTTTGTTCTTTTTTTCCGGTTTGCTCAAACGTAGGAAGCAGCACTGCCTCTGTCTTGTATGTGTGACAGATTTTTCAGTGGCTGCTCTGTTTCAGCAGCAGGATAATTTGAACGTGGCTTTAGATAGTTGGTACAGTGGAGGCCACGTGGTTGTTTTCCCAGGAATATACGAGGCTGCAGACTTATCCCTGTTAACTAAAGACTTAGGTATTGTAACTTAGTGTTGTGTTGTCTTATAATCTACCTCTGTCTTTATGAACTGTAGCTCAGAAGGGGTCCTGATTAATGGTTCTTAGCCAATGGTAGGGAAGAGTGCATTTACCAGAGCTTTTAGCAGGATTAAAAACTTCCAGCATGAAAATAAAAAGCAGAGTATAATTTGTCAGCTACTACCTAGAGAAAAAAATCCTGTGCAACAGGTATCCTGTATAGCCGGAAATCAGTGAAAAATCAGTTTCATAAAACTTATATATATACACATATATATATTAAAAATGTGTCTTTTAAACCAGCATAAATTTAAGCAGTAAAGGCAGCTCTGAAGCAGGCAGGTCCTTTAAATATTTATGTGAACAAAGAACATAAAAATTCATGTAGCCAACTGTTATCCTTCGTATTCTGGTTTTGACACTCTTGTCAATGTTACTTTGGCCCTTCTCCTTTTCCGCTCGGACCCAGGAAAGCAGAAGAGCCCATGGCTGTTCCCAGACCCCCTCCGGCGAGCTCTGTGGCGTCGGAAGCCCAGGACACAAACCTCGTGCAGCTCCCGTCGGTACAGCGGAGAGCGGTCAGTGGTGTCATGGCTGCCGAATCTGGCAGCTGTGACCATCCCAGGCAGAGATTACTGGAACTCAGGCACTATCTTCTTGAATTTCAGATCATTCAATTTGTTGTACAAGAGACGGGAGCGCTCTGACAAGGTGGCTTTTTGAAACCAAGCACAGATCAACTTACCGACACAGTCAACTCAGGGCAAGCTCAGTTTTTACTGTGAAAACGTACATGTCATTTCAGGTTAATTTTCAGTTTTGTTTAAGCTCCTCATTAGCACGTCACTCCTTGTTTAGACTGCACTATTCATTTCTGGCACGGGAAGTGTAGGCGAGGATTACTGCCTGCCCACTTCACTGGTCCTGATGGATTAGGTATTAACAACCAGACTGAAGACTGTTAAGCAGTATTTTCATGCTCAAAACGCCTTCATCTGTGAAACACCAGCATGTCAATAAAAACAGCTAAGCTCTAATTTGTAGATGCTGACTAGTCCATGGCACCTTCTACCACCACAACCTGCAGCCCTCAGGACTGGCTGTCGTTGCCAGCTCCATCCCAGCAGCAACTTCCCACGCAGGCGTGTGATCTACACAATTTCATATGTTACTACGCCTGGCTCCACCCTTAAGTGCCCTTTGATTTTTTTTACAGTTCTTAGAAACAACACAGAATTAGATACGAGCGTTTGGTTAATGAGCAGAGCTCTGGTATTGAGCTGTACCCAAGAAACACAGTCACCTTAGAGAGCTACAAAATTCATCACTGCAATAGAATCATTTCGGCTGGAAGAGACCTTTAAGATTAAGTCCAACCATTGCAGTACCAATAGTAGCAGACTCAGTGAGACCTCACACCACAGGCAGGGTGGCATTAATGTTAAGGTAACATTTTATGGTCTTTCTCCAGTAATAGTAGATAATTTTATGATTACAGATCAGAATAATTTTTATAAAGACACCTGAGAAACATCAACTTTAATCTAAAAAAGGAATTTCTTTAGCTAGCACTTAACAAATTACCCCCAGTAAAACCATTTTTAGCCAGTATGATAGAATATTGTACACACAGTTGATAATCCCTGGTATCCTGGCACTTCCTTCAATGTCCATCCCTTCTGATACCCTAACAGGTTGTTCCTGGAGAAGAAAAATAATCACGTTTTCAGTAACGGTGGCATGGAGTGACCATCCTTCAATCCACAGAAAAGTCAGCATCAGCAGAAAGGCCTGTGGAGTTCTCTGCATCGGACCGTGCAGAAGATGACACACACTCCAAATCAATCCCAGATTTAAGTTTGGAGATCAATAGCTTGATACACTTGATGAGATCAAAGATGGCTCCATAATTCATAGCTGAATATCTGAGCTCCATGTGGCATTTGGCTTTTACCAGTCCAATTAAAGAAACAGTGCTTCACCCTCACCTAATTTTTAAGAACTCTTCATTAGAAATACAAAAACTTCAACTCAGACACCAGCACCTCCCACATTCCATCAAGCACAACTAATTATTGGTTCTGAATAAGTGTTCCAGTTGGATTAGTGGGGAGGTGAATCTCACCAGGCTTGGTAACTTAACAGGACTCGTACTGAGCTGTGCCCACAGACGTCATCCTCTGCTGCTGCAGAAGTGTGTGCTAGGGGCAGAACCTGCCTGCTGCTGCCCACATCCACAGCTGGTTTTGTGGACATGCTGTGAGGGAGGTAAGGGAGTTTTGGCCAAAAAAACCCCTGAAAGCATTCATATGGACACATCTTTTGTAAACTGAGCACTTCCCTCATCTTGGTCACACAGGTGTTCCTGCACAGCACGGCCTGACTGTAGAAACCCCCCCAAGAGCAATCTGTACCTGTGAGTACCCTCGTGTCACCCACCCCTGCTCCAGATCACTTCCCAGGGCTAGTCTGGGAGGTACGGAGGAAACACCTTGCTGGAGGGCTCTTCATCCCTTCTGTGTCAACACCCTGCTGCAAACACCAGGCAGACAGCTGAGTTCCCAATGTCTGGAATCCACAGGCTGTAACTTCAATAAATTCTCATTAAATAATCACTTTCATATATATTTGAAAGAACGAAGTGCAACTATTTTGGAGCAGCTAAATATTGCAAATACTGGGTTCACTTTTGGGCCCCTCACTCCAAGAAGGACATTGAGGGGCTGGAGCATGTCTGAACAAAGGCAACATAGCTGGTGAAAGGTCTAGAGCAGAAGCCTTATGAAGAGCAGCTGAGGTACCTGGGATAGTTTAGTCTGGAGAAAAGGAGGCTCAGGGGAGACCTTCTTGCTCTCAACTGCTTGCTAAAAGGAGGTTGAAGCAAGGTGGGGTCAGTCTCTTCTCCCAAGGAACAAGTCATAGGACAAGAGGAAACAGCCTCAAGTTGCACCAGGGGAGGTTTAGGTTGGACATGAGGAAAAATGTCTTCCCCAAAAGGGCTGTCAAGGCCTGGCTACCCAGGGCAGTGGTAGAGTCCCAATCCCTGGAAGGGTTTTGAAGCCATGTAGATGCGGTGCTGAGGGACACGGTTTAGTGGTGCCCTGGCAGTGCTCGGTTAATGGCTGGACTCAGTGATCTTAAAAGGTCTCTTCCAAGCAAAATGTTTCTGTGATTCTAAGAAACGATCACTGCCTCAGGTAAAGGGAACAGTTCCTGCTTCTGAGACCGCTTCAGATTCTGCAGAGACAAACAGCATCACATCATTCTCAAAAAAGGCCACCCATGTCCTCATGTCATCTGGACCAGAAGAAGAGCACCTCAGCTGCTGTGCTGGAGCTGTGACGTGGCGTGCAGCAGGCCAGGGCTGGCTGCAGAGGAACCGAGCACTGCCTGGCACGGACAGGGAACCACTGCAGCCAGGCCTGTTTGCACAGGTTATTAGACAGCAAAGAAAAGTCCCCATGGAGTCCAAGTTCCATAGTTTGAAATCTGTTTGGCAGAGGATGGTTTTAGACACTGAATAGGTTTCCTCAGAATGCCTTATACTTCTGACAACCAAAACTAACAACAGATGGCTTCAAAAACTAAAGCCAAATCCAAATACAAAATTAAACATGTAGCATATAAGTCTTTTAAAACAAACCCTTTATTAAGAATAAAATCATACAACTTACAGTCAATTCCCTAAGGGCTCGATATATTACAGAGCTGTATTTGTACTAAGGAACTGAAATGGCAGAGTGCTAACAGCAAGAAATGGATTTGGGGAGAAACGTGCTTCTGTGGGTTCCCATCACTACCAGCCGCCCCTGCCCGGACCCCCACAGCCTCCTCTGTAGCCACCGCCTGCTCCTCGATAGCCTGCTCCTCGATAGCCTCCCCCTGGGCTACCCTGGTATCCTCCTCCTGAGTACCTGCCAGAGTAGCCGTAGCCACCGTAGCCTCTGCCTCTGTAGCCAGAGCCGTGCGGGGAACCTCCCCAGCCTCTGAAGCCACCTCCATTGTCGTAGCGAGGCATTTTGGGGGGACGAGGTCCATCACCAAACCTGGCAAAGAGAAACATCACAGATTTAATGGGATCTTACAGATTCCAGTTTAAAAATATTCCAGAAATCATCAACTGGCATGATGCTCAGCTACAACACCTCTATTTTGTGTTAATAGAATATGACACTTGATTGAATAGATGTTTGAAGGGCTGAGAGCCCTGGGGCTCTTTGCCTGGAGTAGAGAAGTCTGAGAGGGGAACTTCTCGATGCTTCTCAATATCTAAAGGGTGGGGGTCAATATGATGGGACCAGACTCTTCTCAGTGGTGCCCAGTGACAGGACAAGGGGCAACGTGCACAAACCAGAACCCAGGAGGTTCCATCTGAATGTGAGGAAAAAATTCCTTCCTGTGAGGGCGCCAGAGCCCTGTAACAGGCTGCCCAGAGAGGTTGTGAAGTCTCCTTCTCTGGAGAGATTCCAAACCTGCCTGGACATGATCCTGGACAACCTGCTCTGCATGACCTTGCTGTAGCAGTGGTGGTGGAATAGATGATCCCCAGAGGTCCCTTCTAACCCCCACCATGCTGGGATTCCATGAGTGACAGTTGCATTTTTGCACCTTTTCCACTTCAGTACAGCACAGATGGTAATGCCATCCAAGCCACATAAGCACGCCCTCCTCTAAATTTCAGCCAGGTCTACACCTGGGGTAGAAAGTTTTCCCCTCAATCCCAGTTCCCCAGCTCACACAAATGCATAGGGAGCCCTGTTCTTGTTTGTGCCAGCACAGTGGGCTTTACTTTGCTCCTCACAAAACACTGAGCTGTACAATGGAGCCGCTCTTTGTTCCCTAAGTTACTAACAGCTCACACGTGTTTCCAGTTTAGTTTGCTTCAGAAGCAAGACCTGAAAACAAGGGGCAATGGGAGGGGTGCAAGCACAGCCAAATAGTTATTTCCAGACATGGAGATGATGAAGTTTCCCCAGAATAAATTTTGGTTATCTTTTCTTTAAAAGTCACTGTGTTTTGGAAGCGGTGATGACAGATTTTATCCCCGAGAGCCATTTGCCCTTCCTGTGGAAACAGGCAGTGATCTACCTACATCAGGCTTTGAACGGGACAATTTTGCACACACTCGGGTTCTTGACTTTGGAACAAAAGCCTGAAGCTCCTGTCCATGTGAGACAAATCACCTCCTGGTGATTTCTGCTCTGGGCTTCTGCAGGCAGGGGGCAGAGGAGCCGAGAGCTCTGACCTGTGCTGTTCAGGTTCTCGGTGTCCCCGGGGCAGAGGTGGCAAGCGCTGCTCGGCCCGCGCCAGCCCGGGGAGCCGAGCTCACCTTGCGTTGGCAGCCATGAGGCTGATGCCCGCGGCCGAGGGCCGGGAGAGCTGCCGGATGACGTTCAGCATGCGCTCGTTGGCGGGGTCCAGCTGCCGAATGACCTGCGGGTCTTTGGTCACCTCCACCACCAGAGCCTCCACGGCCGCGCGCAGCGCAGTGACGCAGGCGGCCGCGCCGTGCGGCATCCTCAGCTTGATCCTACGGCACCAAGCAGCGCGTTAGATGGAGCACCGCTCCTGGGAGAGAGCCTGTTACAGAAGATGGGCTGCAGAGTGGTTTTCACTGCGTGCTGCACGTACCGAGCCAGAAATCTGTATTATCAGCTTTGAAATTCTAATTTGTCAGTGATGGGGCGTGAAATTCACGTGGCGAATTTGCAAGATCCCTAAAATTTGACATTGTTAAAACATAATTTTCCTTCTAAGCTTGCTCTTGATACTTAAACACACTCAGGTAACACCAATCCATAACCTCTAGTGTCAAAACAGAAAGATACAAAATATAAACTGAAACCATGAGGCTCCTCAAGATTTTGAAACCTCCAGGCCACCCTCAAAACTATTAGAGAGTTAAGCTTAAGCAATTCTAAACTTCCATTTTACTGACTGGGGGGGAAAAAAACCCAGACATCCAGATGGTATTTGTTCATGGTCATAAAATGTATGCTGCCAGCGGCAACCAACAAACCATCAGCATTTTTCTCCTCAAGCTGCGTCTCCAAGACTTAAAAACAAGGTTTCCTCAGCTTCTGTCTGAAGAGGAGGTCCAAAATAACAGTGCCTCTCATTCATGTTCCAGTTAAAAAGGAAAAAAACAGCAGTTTTTATGGAACCTGCCTGGTATCATGTTTTCAATTTAAGCAGATAATCTGCACAAAACCAGTGCTGTCAGTGAAAACCCCTCCCTTCCTCACAGGAAACGAAGGGAATGCCCTCACAATTAGCCTGTAGTGCGTGGCCTGCTCCAGGTTCCTATCCTACAGAGATTCATGCCTGTGGTAGAAGCCGCTCCCCCTGAGTCTGTGCTCTTTCACAGGCCTGGATATTGCAAGCCCCAAGGAGGTCCGTACCAGTCATCCACCACAATGAGCTCCCCATCTGACAGGACCTTCTTGGAGGCAAAGAGAAGCAGCTGCAGCGGGCTCACCAAGGTCATGGTTTTGGCAGAGATGGCTCGTGTTCGGATCTGCAGGTAGAAAAGGAATACAACTCTTGAAATGGAAAACAGATCTCTACGTCTTCCTCCCCTACACCACTGAAACCACAGGACTTTGTAAAAACAAAAAGATCACACAAAACCCTAAATATAATGTTAGGAAATTACAAGAGCACATGCACATAGCAAATTGAGTGCTGGGCAGATGTTTACAGGGATTCAGTACTGGCTGATGCAAAATCAACACCCCAAACTACCTCTCATTCTAAAGTATTAATTTTTCCATGACTGCACATCCGCAGTTCTGTAGCTGGCATTTTGCAAGAGCCATCTCATGCTTTGCCAGCCTAAAAATGATGAAGGCGTAGCTGAATTATCTTCCCACCTTCTGCATTGCTGGGGCTGTGATGAAAACTTCACGTTGCTCCTTTAGCAGGGTCCTACACACATCCATGCAACCAGCCTGCTTTGTCATTTTATAGAAACAAGACCTTAAGCTTGTACTTGAAGTGAGCACTTGGACACTATCAAGCTGTCTGACCCAAGCCAGAGATAACAGCGTGGACTACACAGGCCACAGCCCTGCATTTTAAAGAGGAACTGAAGAGCAGTGCTTGGGATTTCAGCCTCCCACCCTGACAGCTGCCTCTCTCCCTCCTTCCTTTCACACTGGAGTGTGATGGGCAGACTCTGTTGTACTTGTTTGTCCTCAGGAACAAGATTTGCTCCTGCCTGGAAGTCACCACACATGCTCAAAAGAGAGAAACTTCCAGAACAGAAATTGTGGCAGAAAAATGGCCAGCACAAGGAGCAGGGAACTTGCAGGTCAGGGGAAGACTGTCAAATGCAGCAGGAAACAGCAACCAGACCTCAGAAAGAAAACTTATTTCTTAACAGGTAAATAATGGGTAGGGAGAGAGCAGCATCCAAAGCCTTCCTTCACTCCAGTCTCACCCAGGTGCTGTCTTAGCCACTCTTCGTTTCCCCTGGGTATTTGGTTGAATAAACCACAGCTTTTTTAGTTCAGAAGCTTTCATGTTTTCAGGGGAGCTCACTTTACAGAGGTGACTGAGCCAGATCAAAGGTCTGACCCACTTGGGATCCTGTCATAAAGACCAAAGAAGAGGCAAAACCTCACCACAGCTCTGCACTATGGATGAGGAAATCCAGAGTGTGAAATCAAGTCCTCAACCAGCGCTTAAAAGGCCAAAATTCTATTTATTACCAAACAAGTCCATCTGCCATTACTAAAACAAGCTGCATGTCAGCAAAAAGGACTGAGGATATAACAATGAGCATAAACAAACTGCAGTTCTGAACTAACCAGTGTAGACAACATGACAAAAAAGAAACCCCTACAGCATCACCTCTGCTGTAAGGTCTTAAGAAGCTTTCCTTACAGAGAGAGGCTTTGCTAATGCAATCTTTATTGTCAGAAACATCTTTACAGCCCTTCCCAGCCAGAAGGAACACCACTGTTGTGCAGAGCTGGTTTCAACAACAAGCAACAGAGCTCTTCAGGGCCTCCCCACCACTGGGCTGGGCTAACTGTGCACAGGCAGCACAAGCACAGGCTGTCAGCCTGAGGACCATCTCCCAGCTACATCCTACACAAATGCATCACCTTCATTTGCTCCTTGAACAAAGGGCAGGCAGAAGCAGTGGCATTCATGATGGCCGTCACTGAAGCATGTGAGAGCACACAGGGATTTCAATGTACATGTGCAGTATGTGCCAAGCACACAAAATTAATGGGATGTACACAAAATTAATGTGATGAGGAAGACATCCTGGGGACCCTGAGGAAAGCATCTGAGGGTTTTTATGACATGCTTAGGAAATGGGAGTTGTCCTCGGGAGATAAACTACCTACATGCCAGAGAGGGAGCATGCCACCCTGTTTTCCCTCTGGATTCATAAGTACCAGAATTGATGAGGGCAAAAAATCTCTAGTGCCTAATTAGTATTGAAGAGCTGCTAAAGCAACCTGAACAGAAGACAATAATTTGGATCTTTCTCTATGACCTGGCTGTTTTCACAAAACTCACAGGAACTTTCTATGCAGCTCTAATTCTATTAAATTTGTCTGTCTGGAAGTTACTGAAAAGCTGAGTGACAACATGATCACTTAAGGTTCACTTTCTGGGAAAACAAAATAAAACAAACCAATAAACCAACCCTACCCAAAACCAAGCTGAATCTTGCACAGTGTAGCTTATTTGGTTTTTGTTGTTTTTGTTTTTTTTTTCTTATGGCTTCGTTACCAAAAAGAGCCTCTTAGACCACTTGGCAGCAAGCGATAAAGAACACACACTCAAACCCTTTACCTTTTCTCCAAAAACAAAAAAAGGTGATGGATACTTGATGTCCTGGCTGCTGAAAGGGCAGTTGACAGATGACTTGTGGATGAGCGCATTGTGCCCCTCAGTGGTAAGAATTTTCCTCTTCTCCTTGTGGTAGCAGACATTGGGGTAGACCCCAAAAGCAAGCAGGGAGATTACAACATCCAGATTATTATCTGGTCCAGTGTTGTTAAACGGTTGAGTCATCAAACATTCTGTTGACAAAGAACAGAAGACTGGCTTGCATCCACAGGTCATGTAGGACAGCACAGCAGAACTGTTCAGGATCCTGGATCAATGTATTTTCTGATTCAATCAACTGGTAGATGTGCATCTGTTCTCAGACGACCTCTGCACTCCAAGCATTTCAGTTCTACATTCAATTTTCAATTTATTCATGCAGAGCAAAAAGCTGAAAAATACTACTACAAAGAGATATTTTTCTCCTCCAAGTTCTTTCAAAACAAGAGGAGAGGGGTTTGCCCAGAATGTGCTGTACCACATCATGTTTACTGTCATTTGTTTTGGAGACAGATCTTTTGGGGGAGGTCAGAATGGATGTTTTCATTAGTTTATTTGTTACAAACCTCCCCAGAGTCTCTGGTAGCTTGCTTCCAGGTCATCTTGCCCAGAAATAAAGATAAAGATAAATGCAGCAATGATCCTAGCAGCATGAGGAGAAAAAATTAAAGGAATTTAAAACAAAAAAAAGAAAGGGAGGGGGATATGAACTTCTGCGGAACCCAGCCAGCCATGCCATTTAACTGAGCAAGCTCCAGGAATACTGGCAAATTCAGAACCTACTCAATTTTAAGAACTTAATTTTTTTTCCTTATAAAATTGAATAATATGCTACACTACTGCACATCCCTTCTGTGGCACAAACCCAGGGTGCATATCACACTGTTTAGATCACACAGACTCCCTGCTAAGGCTAATGAAAAGGAGGTTGGGAAGATGCAACAAGCGAAGGAGAAAGAAATTCCAGGAGGTAATTCTCTAAGGATGATTGCTTAATAGGTTTTTAATCCTGCAACCCTAAACTCAGCTTCTAGAATTTTCTTATGTTGCAGCAAAGCCATCACAATTTCTCTGGTATGAACAACTATGAGAGAATGAGACAGCACTAAAATCTAATTTGAATGCAGCTATAAAAGCAGAACAGCTTTACAGCAAATCCACTACAGGTCTCTGTGTCTGTGTTTTCAGCACAGATTACCTTGTTTCTTTATTTCTCATCTCAGAATGAAAAACACAATCATTAAATTACTATATCCAAGCAGACTCACCTTCAGGGAAGCCAGAATTAATAAGTATATCTTTCAGCTGGACTTTTGCTTCCCAAGTCATTCTAAGAGTAGCCATGCTGAGTCTTTTGTGTTCACAAAATCTTTTTTCTGCTTCTTCACCACCCATTCTGAAAAAAAAACCAACAAAACAACGAGTAAATTAGAAGTTCATTCAAGAAAAGGAGACATGACAGTCTAGTTCTCAGAGCATCCATAGTCTGGTCACAGAACCACTCACCCTGTGTTACCCAAAACTTCTCATCAAATTCTGAGCCAAGACAATATACCTTGCATCATCCCAGGCTTGGAAGACGGAGAGCAAAGCAACATGATCTGAAAACCTGCTCCCAGCAAAATTCCTATGGACGTAACCCAGGCGTTTGCCTTCACTGATGAAAGGTTCAGGGAAACAGGTGGCTGCAGAGATGGTACAAACAGCATCTCCCACACTGAAAGAAACCACAGAAAGTATCAGGGTTGAGTTTAGTCACAGTTTTGCTGCCAGCAGCTGCTACAAGCTGTTCATACTAGTAAAAACTTCTCCATTAGAGACTTTAGTAAGTTGGCCCTTACAGAATCATAGAATTGTTTTGGTTGGTAGAGACCTTTCAGATCATTAAGTCCAGCCATAAATCTACCAGAGTTCTTCACAGAAACACATCCCTGGAAGTGGATGTTAAACTAGCTCAAATTCCAGTACTTTTACAACAGTAAGTGTTCACAAGCCCTTTGTTTATCTTCCCTCCTCTCTTCTGTATCCACACACCATCATCTTCTGGTGAAAAGGGCCCTACAGCCACCATCACAATTACAAATAAAAGAACCTTATTTCTGCTAAAGCAAAAGGTGTGAATTTACCTTCCTTCTTATCTAGGTGTCAAAATTTCATATTTTCCCACCTCCAGCTCACCACTATAATCAAGTATCTAGAGTCTCACTCTTAATGCCTGAGTATTCAGCCTCTACTGGTCCCTTGCAATTAAGTCAATTAACTCAATTTATTGCTTATCTAGATGCATCGTTTTTCTTTTGTAGAGTGCAAATCTAGAGGCTCAGGAATTGAGAAAAACAAGAAAGAGACCACTGAGACTACTAAACTTACTAAAAAATACAGCCCATTATCATCATCTTGCCAAGACGAGGCTCTATGGGAAGTTTGGCGAGGATTCTTCCAAGAGGTGTCAGCTCATCATTGGAATCCAGGGCATCAAGCTCTGAAACAAGATCTCAGATTATCAAACATGGTCCCAGAAAGCCTTACAACATAAAAACATTCAGAATTTTAATAACTGGGTTTAAACAGAACTCCACCCATATTTAAGTTTAATGTTGTTCACAATATTGCAAATCCGATTTTCAAAATTGGTCTGAGGTCAAATAAGTTTTTCTTTAGATTTACAGATGTTTTACTACCTCCTCCACAATTAAAATTACTATTTAACTCATGTACATATTTTTCCCATTTCTTTTTAGTTTGCTTCTATACAAACTATTAGAATATTATATGTTCGAGTCCTTGTATTTTATCTAACTTGATTTCTGCCTCACGAAAAATCAAAGCAGACCTCTCACAGCCAACTGTAGAGTCTTTATTGCTATTGCCAAATCACAGAACGCTCTGTTCATCAAAAAGAGGCCAACACAAACTCTCTTCCACAAGGCTTTGCCTGCCTTTCTCTCCTTCCATTACCTACAAATTCTCACCAGAGCTCATCCTTAGAGCTGTCAAACTGCTGTCAATAATAATGTCAAACGAGAGACTGTTAGCTGTACAGACTGAAGAGTCTCATCAGCCTCCTTATCTTTTCTAGCCATTTGGCCATAACCACTGAACTCAACTTCATAAAACTATTTTTAAGTTTGTATGACAAAGCAGAACACTACAAGTTGTGATCTTTAAAAACCCTTTTACGATATAAAGGAAAAATGCAAACCTGTAGTTCACAAACAGATAGTGCACCTGTACTTCAGGGGAGCTTCAGTGTAACTAAAAGCCTTAAATTTTAAAAAAAAAAGCTTTTAAATGGGAAAGTTAAATGGGAAAGTGAACTAATTAAGGATTAATCAACTCCATTTTTTTTTGGCACCTATTGAACTCAAAAGCCTAAAGAATATTGTGAGGAGCAGCACATCTCATCACCCTAAAAACATTCTAGTAGTGTATAGAAACTGAAAAGAAAAACCAAACAAAGAAAAACCCAACACAGGTCATCTAAGAAACAGAGGCATATGCAGAAATGTTTATGTGGTGTTAAAGCTGAAAACATTTGCCTTTTCCCCTGGCTTTGTATTTCCTAACTGCAGGGTAAGAAAAGCACTAAGAACATTTAGATCAGAAAGTCGTTAAGCTTGAATGTATACCCCTTGCTTTGCTTTTCATTCTCATCTCCTTTCTGTATACAAGCAATGCAGGCTCATCACACCATTTTTTCATAAATTCAGCAATCAAATAGTTGTTTCAATTCTTACAAATTGTAAGAACTGCTTAGTGACATTTGCAAAGCATGCTGAGGTTTCAGATCACTGCTTTAAATCTGAAGTATAAGTTTAGGGTTCCTCCTTGGTTCATTTTACTCGTATTCTAGTTAGTCCCGTGAAGAAACTAGGGAGACAGCTTAATCACCACCTCAGTTTCTCCTGTTTTAGGAGAATACTGACGCTTCCATACTCATGAACTGGAAACTTAGTTACTTGACAAAATACTGAGATACCAGGTCAACAAACTGTACAAAGCAGCAACTATAAAATCAACTACTAACCTCTCTTTGTCAGTACATTTAGAGCAGTTTTATAAAAGCCTTAGGCACTGGACTGAGTCTATGTTGCACACAGAAGTGCCACAGCTGGAAAACAGGAAGCTGGAAGCCAGCATAAGTTACTGGTAAAAGAACAAAACAAGCCTTAAGTTTGCAGGCTCAAGTTTCTTGAAGGAATGACACTCCATTTGGGAATTAAGTATTTCTTCAGCTGCAAAAGACACTGCCACCCACATGATGCATCCAGGAAACACCTTGCTGTTTCAGACAGCATGCTACTACACAAACAATCTAACCCAAGACACTGAAGCAGTTTCTAAGTGAATATTAGATGTGGGAAATTACTTGGAGTCAGCTCCGTTAAGATACAGTCTTGTGGACAAATAATACCTCTTAGTGTGCGTTCTGCTTCAATCACTGCATCCAAAGGTGGTGGTTCTATTGCTTTGGCCAAAAATTGACCAATTCCTCCAAGTCGCAACAATTTGATGCTCAAAGCAATTTCATGAAGTGGTGTTCGAAACATTTCGGGTGTCATATGAGTCTGAAGTCTGGAATGACAAGACAAAAATAAAACCTCACATTTTTCCGAACACAGGCTTTGATCACCATCATAGGTTATTCTGCATCAGAATTGGTTTTGGCTGGAAGACACTTTTAAGATCAATGAGTCCAAACATTAACCTGACCTGACCACTGCCAGGGCACCACTAAACCACGCCACTCAGCACCACACCTACACAGCTTCTCAGTCCCTTCAGGGGTGGGGACTCCACCAGTACCTCCTTGGGCTCTCAATGTGCTCCTGTAACTTAGGCTCTTCTACCAGTATTTGTCTTCTGTGCTTCTCAATTCCCATCTCAGAATACATTTATAATGGAAATGCACAGAGGGTACAACCCTCACATCACCACTGCTCCAGTGTGATTTCCAGCATAAGCTGACCACACAGAGAGTCTGCATTGCTGAAGCCCCCGATCTGCAGTATGGCTGTGTCCAGTCCCACACCTGCCCCCTTACAATCCTCTCCTATGTTGCTAAGGAAGGTCTTCCACTCCTGACACAGAGAACCTGCTTTCAGCCTGCCTTACATACAAGCATTTCCCTACCTGCCCTTCTAACAACTCCAAACCAACCAACTCCTCTCCTGCACATTTCTGCTCTGATCACTAGGAAGAGTTAGGTATTTTTGCTGGATGCTTTCCTAAAGCACCCTACTGGTAGGAAAGAGACCTGATGGAAACAGATAGAGCTCTTATGTCTTTAGCACAGTATCATTAGGGATCCTTTAGCTTGCTGGCTGAAATAAGAACTGATAGGAATAACTGCACCAAACAGCAGACCTTGTAAAGCTTTGAAAATACCTGCAACAGATATCCAAAATTCAGCTGGCACCAAATTTGAATGGTATCTCTCAAAAGATTATCTGCACAAGTCCACAGTCTTTCTTTCCTAGGCATCATGGTGCTAGTGTATTTTGGTTTTATACTCTTTGAAGGAAGGTAACCTTGAAGTCATGAAGTCCTGCGATTACTCCAGTAGCCTAAAGTTGGTTAACTGTCAAAAATTCTTTGTTAAAATCACTCCACTGTACTAGAGAGCATACCTAAATAAATGCGAACAATTTAAGGAATTTTTTGGTCAGCTGATGCTTTCAGAGCTTACAAAAAGTTGGAAACCAAAACATATGTCTGCTCTAATAGCTATCTGAGGAAGGGGCACTGAAACTTTCATGAGAGAGATCAAACATTGCGTGGAAGAGCTGTGTAGACTTCAGCAACCAGCAAAAGAGTTCCATGGCCCTAGAAGCTGAGAAACACCCTGGCAGATAGAAGAGGTCAAAACTTTCAGCAGCAGAGAAGGTGGCTAGAGCAGCATGAAGGGGCTTCCTAGCTACAGAATGAGGATGGACTGTAAAGCACCATCTGTCTTCCCTGCTTTTTAACACTTCCATGACAAAACTGCCTGTTATATGAAGACGTCAGGTACCCACAGTGTTTGAAGGCAGACTTATTATCTTATCCTCATTCAAAAGCTTTTTTCTGCTTTGCCTCAATTCCCAAGCAGTATTAATTTTCTCCTGAGAGGTTCTGTAGGTTGCAGTGAGTTCTTAATAAAATCACAAACTATTTATCACCTCATACTATAGGTAAAAGCATATAAACATATGTAATTTTTTTTAAAAGCAAAAGTACCAAGACATTCCAGTGTGAACTGACTTAATGCATCTCCTCACCATGCCTTCTGAAATTATCTCCCTAATTTGGTAGAGAAGTAGCACACAACCGTTCTGGCAGAAGTCCCTGAGGTTATTTTCTTCCTACAGAGCACAGCCTCACCTGTCAAATCGAGCTCTGCTGCACAAACGGAAGCAAAATCCAGGACGCACGCGGCCGGCTCTTCCCTTCCGCTGCTCCAGGTTAGTTTTTGATGCCCACACCGTGGCATAGTTTGTCATGTTATTATGAGCGGTGAACAGCTTCACCTTTTGCCTGTTACATAAAAAAACCAGCACTTAAAACCAGATATTCTTCCCTTAAGTCCTGCCAAATCAGTTCTTATTTTACTGCTCGCAGCCACACTGCTTTTAAGAATCAAACCACCCCCGATGGACTAGCTAAGCTTTGGCTAGTTCCGCGTCGATCTGGAAGTTGAAGTATCATACCCCTGATAAGCAGTGCCCCAAGCTATCCACAGAGTAAAGTTTTCACAGCTGTCTCAAAAGCTTAAAATTCTCATGCAGTTAATGAGATCCCTATGTGTAATCTGCTCAGAGAACATGCATAGCAAGACAGGATCTGGAACAGAGTACAAAACCCTCCCTCTTTTCCATCGGCCATAGAGGGAGTGTTTGTGATACTTATTTGGCAGATGCTGTATTTCAAATGGGCATGGAGACCCAGTGACACCTCCCATGAGCGGTGCCAGCCTGAACGTGGCTGACCAAAGCCAGCCCACTGAAGTGCCAGCAGGGCTTGTAACTGTGCTGAATGCCTAAAGACAATAAAAATTTGTTTTCAGTGAGTTACGAGACCTCAAATTCAGTTCTGCAACTCTGGGAAGACAAGGCAGTTCTGTGTATTCAGAGAATGTTTTCTGCATTCCAAAGAATAGGATTTGCCAAACAAAAAGCTGCTTCATGAACTCACTTGCAGGAGTCTATAACGTAGACCACATCATTGATGGTAATGCTGGTCTCAGCAATGCTGGTAGATAAGATAACCTGTAAAAGACAGGGATACGTATTGAGATATATTTGGTCTGAAAAAGTTAAGCACAGGCTTCAAGATAAACTATGTAACCTCTACTAAAAAAAGTCCGCAATACACTCCAGAAAAGCACCCCAGAACGGAGCGTGTCACACTCCACACAGAGAAGGCTCTCATACTTTTGTTACTCCAGGAGGCACTGGATCAAACACTCGACGTTGTTCCTCCAGGGGAATTTGTGAATGCAGAGGTAAAATTCTGTACTGGTGGCCTCCTACAACATGAATACAAGAAGGTCAGTAACTACATGGATCTTATTTCTTCTTTGCACAACATGATTTCTAACCATTCATTCTCCTGACAAATTAATCCAGTCCCCTAAGCCACACATCTTTACACAGTCAATAGTTTCCTTTGGAAAAGATGCAACAGAACAGAACACAGTTGCTTGTACCAAAGCGTGGATTCATTTCCAGATGCTTCTGCATTGTATATATCAAGTTCCATCCGGGCAAGAAAACAAGTACAGCTCCTGGGACATTCAGAGTCTTGATATAAATTAGCAGGGCCTCAATGAGTTCAAAAGAAGTTTCTCTTTCATTCAGCTGAGCCATGGAATGCTTTGTTTCTGGGCCATATTCATCACTGCAAATAAGGTTGCAATTGGCCTAAAAAAAAAAAAAAAAAAAACACAAAAGAAATAAGATACATTAATTACTCAAACTGTAGAAACTGTCTGGCCAGACAAACGGGGAAATGAGATACGGGAGTACCTGATGGGGAATATCATCTCAGGCACAGCTTGCATAACGACAAGAGCAGTTCAAGTTCTCCTTCCTCAACTTTCTAATATAAGATATGAATTACAATTCCATTGCATTGCAACTCAATACAAATTTGCAGCAGGAAGCTACCAAAGAATTTAACTTCCATTCAGATGAATATGAATAATGTCATAACAAGAAAATGCTTCTCTCGAGGAAGACTGGTCATTTTTTTAACTTTAAAGTCACTGACCTACACAGCAGTTTCAGAAATACAAATGAACAGCTGTATCATGAAAGCGAGTTTCTTGACAATGCATGTAAGCACAAGCAATATCCACTGCAAGAGAAGGGAGAGAACCTGAAATTTCACCCTGCAAAGGTATGACAAAGTTCACATTTCTGTATCTCTGTATTTTCTGTATCTTCTTCCAAGCCCAACAATCTTTTAACTTTGAAAAGTGTTTCAGTTCTATCTTTAAAGAGAAGTAGGCTTTTCTAATTGATAAGTCTCTCTCCCTTATTCCCTTTCTCTTCTGCTTTGCGGGGAAGAGGGGCTAACAGAGCATCTGCTACAGGTCTGGGGGCAGCCCTAAACCATGGCAATTTGTAAAGTTACTGGAAAACTCAGATAATAAAAATAATTAAAACTGCTTAAAATGTTCAGGTTCAACAATGCCAGATTAATTAGACTTTAGCGAGAGTCCTAACTGGCACTTATTTAATTTTTCATATTAAAAAAGTCAAACATACATCATCATCTTCACCATTTTCTTCATCCTTGTCTTTCTTCTTCTTTTCCTTTGGTGGAGGAATGAACTGAGTCATTTGAATGCAATCTTCCAGAAAGTAATCTGCAAGGACACACAAGCATTGCTTATCAAGACTCACCACTGGCTGCTTCATTTATTTTTATACTGGCTCATCTAAAGCTATTTTCATTATGCCTAGTATCACAGACAACTGATCTGAAACACCACAGCTTGACTATTGCTATCTCATTCTTCAGTGGAAACTACCCCAAGTGGTTGTGTTTTAGGGGGGTGAAGTTTTGTGTTACAGGGTTCATTTGTTGGTTTTTTTTGAGGGGAAGTAGTATTGTTTGATTTGTTTTGTTTTAAATAAAATAGTGCTGTGAAAGGATGCAGTGTTGCTGACTTCTTTGCCAAGGGTAATCCACATCTGTAAGACGTGGATTTCAAAAGAAATGCATATCTTGCTGTAGCCATAATCTTAAAGCACATGATTTACCTTGGACAGGGTAGGTTCTGCCAAAGACCTCAATGATAGGACAGTTGAAGAAGTATTCACAAAACATACTAGTGTCGATGGTGGCAGACATGAGGATAACCCTGATTTCAGGATATGCCTGAACCACATCTCTCAGCACCACCAAGAGAAAGTCAGTCTGCATAGAAAGAGAGTAAGAACATCATTAATTTCCTACCCATAAGAAGCAACACCTTCCCAAGAGACCAGAAAGAACTACACAGACATATCTATTTACTGAGCAGGAGCTTTGCTGGTCAAGAGATGTAACAATTATCACAACAATATTCTGTAACCAGAAAGAGTTGTCAGTGCTTTATTTTGCAAATACAGCAATTCCTGGGATAAGTGACTTTTAGGATTTCCGGTGTAAGGAAGAGTTATTCTTTTATCAGAATGAAACAAACTAAAGCATTCAAAAATAGTTTGCTTCCTCCCCAACAAAAAGCTAGAAACCTTAGCTAGAAACTAAGGTCATTTTAAACTTTGTTTATGTATTAAGTAGCCATAGTTCCATAAAATAAACAGGAATGACTCAGTGCAGCTGTATGTGAAGTTTTATAGCTCTGTTTAAACATGACATATATTTAGTTTTCCCATGCAGTTAGGCAGGCCTTTAGTTCAACAGATACAGTTCCAGACTTATTCAAAATTTGAAAGCTTATATTTTACATCATTAGTATAAACTTAGTAGATGAAGAAATTGGAAAAATTCTGCATAACAATTCCATCCAAATGAGTTCCCAAATTCCTTCAAAACAAGCTTAAATATCACATAAAAATGTAGTGGTTTCTTTCACTCTTGGTGTGGCAAAGCTGAAAACTATGTGGAAGAATCAAGGGGACAGAAAATGTTTCCCATTTCTTGGGTTATGTACAATCCCTCCCCCAATTCTATTTTCAACTTGCTGCATTTTTTGTGGTGTCAAGCCCGAATTTAAGTGTGCCACTACCGAGATGACAGCTTCTGTAAATACTACTGCTGTTCCATTACAGTAATACAGCACTGCCAGCAGATAAAGCAGTCCAAAACAAGAGTGACATTCAACATGCTCCCATGTTTGGACAAGAAATGCTTTTACCATGGTGTGCTGTTTCCCAAAGAGGAGCAGGACATAGGAGGAAATCCTAACAGGAAAAAAGAGATAGGGCAGCAAGAAAGCACAAGTCCTTGCTCTTTTCATCAGGAGCAATTAAGAGTTTCCAAAAATCATATTTAAGACGAAAACTCATATATATGGCATTTAGTAAGATGCACAGTTTCCTTCCTACGCAAGAACGCATGCAAAAGTTAAATAACAGAAGCACAGAGAGAAATAGGATTGTAATCATCAGCTAACTCACATTTATGTCTCTTTCGTGGATCTCATCAACAATAACATGACTAATGCCACGGATCCCAGCCTCCACCTTTCTCAGAAGAACACCTTAAACAGACATAGGTGTGGAATGTTCATGTAAGTACCAGCTCACCTTTCGCCCCCCTGCCCCCATCATTTCATCAAGTACATCAAGGTTTAAAACTCAAGTTGTGCACAGGCTACCCAGCACCTTTTACAGCCCCATCTCTAAGTGTCACACTTTCATTTCTACAAGCGATGGGGAGGGTATGAAGTATTACTACTAGGAAGACTCCTTCTTCCCCACCCAATACTGACTGCTGTTCTTGCCTTTTAAGGACAATCAATATATGGCAATTTTATCTCTTCAGATTATTTTTGTTGGTATCAGACCTGTACTATCATACTTCTAAACAATCTTAATCTTTCCTTGCGCAATAGCACGGCAGCAAACTTATATCAAAAAACCACCCTTTTTTAATCTTTTAAACAGACTTTCTAAAACTTTCAATCTAACCATATTTCTGCTTTTGCTGCCCACTCGAAGAACTCAGACCTGTAAGTAACAAGCTCCCAGCAAGAAGAAAAGAGCACAGACCTACGGTGCAGAAGAGCACGCTGGCGTGCGGCCGCGGGAGCACGGACTCGAAGCGCACGCTGTACCCGCAGCTCTGCCCGGGCCGCTCCCCGCGCTCGTACGACACACGCTCTGCCACGGAGACCGCGCTAATCCTCCGGGGCTGAGGGACGGAAAAGTTTTCTGGCTTATTGGTGAAGTTTTGGAAGTTTATCAGAACATCAGCAACCCAAGAAAGTTAATTATAAACGCTACAGGCATCTTGTCCCAAGATTTCTTTACAGGGTAGTCACTAAAGAGCAATAACAGCAGGCTTTTTTCTTCTGGAATGGTTGATTCTACACATAAAACCACAGAGGAGAGATAGAAGGATATACAGGAACTACCAGCTGGCATTTGCCAAGATGTTTACTCTTGGCCTGCCAAAAAGTTTTCACCTGGGCAGGGTACAAGCCAGACTATCCCAAATAAAGATACATGAAAGACTAACACTCCAAATGAAACTATACATGATGCCAGGGTTTCTCCTGCACGTACTACTGAGGAGACACTTTTATGAACCATGTCCTGCAGTGATAATCAGATCTCTCAACACATCCCAGTAGGCAATTTCTGGTACCCAACCACAAAACTGAAGTGGTTGTGTTTGTAGCACGCTCCTCACCTGTGTCACCACAATGTTGCACTCTGCAGCTCTGTTGGTTTTGATGTACTCATCCAGGATGTACTGTGGCACTTGTGTGGTTTTGCCACAACCCGTGGCACCACGGATTACAACAACTGAATTGTGGCGGACTGCATCCAGAATCTCACTTTCAAAATTCTTCACGGGCAAGGTATCCCTCTCTTGTTGGATCTGGAAAAAAAAACAGAACATCTCCAGAAATCTCCCAAGATCAACCTGTTGTGCTCCACGCCCATACCTGTCTCACTCTTCTACACAGGTTTCTCTTACACAAAGGAAAAACTGTGCAAGAACAAACCAGTTTGTATTTCTCCCTTACACAGCACAACACATCCCCACATCCATTCCATGCAACATCCAGCACTTCTGAAAATTTTGTGTGTATTACTACTGAAATCCTGTCTTACACACTTTGTATACAAAATTTTCAACCTCTTCTGGAAAAGAAAAAGAGCATGCACAAGCACGCAACATCAGAGGAAGCACACTTACATTTTGCAGTTCTTGATCGTGCTCCAAACGGTACATGAAATCACTTTTCAAATCCATGCTTATTTGCTCTGGAGTGAGCTGCAAAGACAAGACATTGTTCAGAGGCTTTTTCACACTTCTGCTTATCTATATCATAACTTCCATATAAAAATCAGTCACACCACATAAAGACTCCAAGTATCAGTAAAGGGTTATTTCATACATAACTCCCTGAGAACAGTTATGCCTACGAGGTATTCTATTTCATTTATTCCAGTCCCTTAAAATTAAACATCCATCCTCAAAGAAGTTTCTCAGAAAGCTCCAAAATACTGAAGAATGACTGTTTAAATGTAAACACTTTAACCACTTGAGAAACATACTCTATGCAGCAGTAAGCCAATGAGATAGTTTGATGCACATTCAGACAGCCATGTTTAATGTACAGAATGAGATCATGTCAGCACATAACCGCACATAGAACAGTCAATGAAAAAAGGAAATGGGAGCAGAGAGGGAAATTTATCAGGCAGCACTTGTATTTAAAACACGAAAGAATTCTAAAGAAATTCAGATTTGTCACCAAAGGTCTAATTAATTTACTGAAAATAAGTTAACTGTATGTCCTGGTTTGGAGTAGAACAGAACTAATTCTGTTCAGTGGTTTTACTTTACAGCTAAAGCTCTTCTAATTAACTGCACTGTCTGAAGCTAACAGCACATTTTCACAGACACTGTCTGCTTCTAGCAGGGATAACCCTCCATGTTTAGAGTTACTACCAAGGACTGGTGTGCAGACCAAGGACACTGCTAAATCCCGGGTACCACACGGAGAGGGGCAGAAAGTACAAGCCACACCTGCAGGGAGGAGTGGACAAGACAAGTGACCCTAAATTGACCAGGGGGGTATTCCAGCCCATATCCCTCATATTCAGCATAAAACCTGAAGGATCGTGAGGAGCAAGCCCTTCTGTCTCCATTCCACCTTCTTCCTCTTTGTCTGCTCCTTCAATGGCCGGCATCTGAGGAGGACTCCATCCATTCTGCCTTTGATCCCGGGGCCCATGTTCCTGAGCTCAATCCCAGAATCCAGCTCCTGGACCCAGTTGCCATCTGTGGCCGAGTCCAGCCTGGGACTTTTCCCCAGGGCCTGCTCCACAGCACTGGGGGTGACAGTGACATATTGCCATTGGTGGGGAGTTGGGTTCAATATTGGCTTTGTCTATATTTGTACACATTCCATTTCATTAGTAGTAGTATTTTCACTACAGCCATTTTACTTTCTTTTTTGATTCAATAAGTCTCTCCCCCTTATTCCCTTTCTCTTCCCCTTTTGGGGGAGTGGGGTTAACAAAGAGCATGTTACAGGTCTGAGAGTGACCCTGGCCCTAAACCATGACATGTACCATGACTAGCACTTAGAAATGTTAATGAGATATGAAGCCAGCTCAATTTGCAACGTCTGTAAATATATTATGCAGTTTAAGCAGCAACACTCAAATTTAGATCAGTTCCGTATCTTTAAAATCAATATATAATGATCAATGTTAAATTCACATCATTTATGGACAAAAACCTGCAATTGAAAGTAGTATTAAATTATTATTATTGCTGCTGTTCATTTGCTCTGTGGTGAATGGGACTAGAAATGACAAACAAGCAAGCAAGCAGGCTGATTGTGTAGTGACACCAGCTTGGAGCCCTTTCTGCTCCTTGAAAAGAAAGTCCTAGCATGGAAAGACAGGGAAGAGAGACTAGCAAGTTATAAATTACATCCTCATAAGTTTACCCCATAATTTCAATTAGAACTTTGTATTGGCTGCACAATAGCAGGCAAAAAATGCAACAATGCAAAGAACTGGGGCATCCAAGACACTGCTGCTCAAGGACACAATGAAATATGAAGTAAATACAGGGAGCCCCTACCAATGAAAAGACTCCCTTCCTGCAGGTCAAGGAAGGAAGAAATTTTATCAGTGGACTGTTTTCTCCTTTAGAATAGCTCATACTTTAAGTCCTGGGGGTAAAAAGCATTTAAAAGTTCCAGAAGCACAGGGAAAACAAACAACAAACCAACTTTTTAAGCTGTCTTACATTTGCCAGAGGGCCCTCATCAATATTGCAGCCGGTCCAAGGGTTCCAGTTGGAATGAGGTGGTGACCATGGAACAACTTCCATATGACTTTGTCTCTGTGATGGTTCAAAATGGGCCAACTTTCCAACATTAATCATAACTGGATTCCCAGCATCTTCAGGCTGTAAATCCAACAGCAAAGCAGGCAAAGAAAGATAAATGTATTAAACAAGCAGGCCTGATATTTAGTACTGGGGTATCTGAACCACTCACTCACCATAGGCACAGTCTCCAGAGACAGTTCCCGTATGGTCTTTTGCAGCTGATTTTCTAAGTCGGAAGACAGCGACACCTCATAGGGTTCCATCTATTAAGTGTTTAAAAAAACATATGCTGATAAACACAAAGAGAAGCCAGAACTCCATGCTACCAGAGCATACACTGAGCCCTCGAATTGTTCCTCTGAAATCAGGCCAAAGAGTACCACCAGTTCAAAATTCACATTCTTGAAACATTTTGCTGACTTGTCATCCAACAATAATCTGTAGAATGTTTGTAAATATCTGAGCTTAATTTCAGAGGAAAACATTCCCAAACTTGTAACCAAATACCTAAAAAAAAAACCTAATATGCCAGAGAATGAAACCAAATAGCCAAGAATCGTATGTGGTATAAACAGAAATCTTCACACTTGTAGAAAACTTATACTAAAAAAAGCATTTGTTACAAACCCTATTTAATACATTGTTGAACTGGTTTACTGCTCCATATTTCTGATCCAAGTCACGGCCCAGACCAGAACCAGTTGCTGTTCTAAAGTACCAAAGTTATTATCAACACAGAAGTTGTGAAACATTGAGAGCAAACTCATCTTTCCAATAGAGTGCTTGTGTGTTATTAAAATGAAAGCAACAATTTCTGACCCTTCTGCCAAACTCACCGATTCTCCTTTTTTCTTCGTCTGACCAGAATAAGGTTCTATGACACCAAGATGGTAGAGCTGTCTAACCAAGGAAAGGGCACAGGACTGGGCTGCCAGCTTTTTGTTTGATCCATGCTCACGGCTGAAAATCCCTGCAGCACACAAAGTTCAGAACTGTAGTAGCTGATGAGTCAAATGGCTTCCACACAAGACATAACTCTGCAATGAGCTTTCTGATTGTTCACACAGGGCAGGTTTCATGGAAAGAATCTCAAATCTTGTTAAATCCAGAGTTCTAACACAAAATCCAACCAGGCCCCTTCACCAGCTGACTCACACTAGCTGTGTAGTGTTTCTTACTCACTCATCGGGGAACTCCTGTGAACTTTTTTCTGCATTCCGTGTCTAAGGAAGTATCAGTATCCTATACCACCCAACATCATCATACAGATTTCACAGGAAGCTTTATATAAATGGGTATGTTATAGACAGCACACCCATTGCCTGGGAATGTATCAGACACCTGCATTTTAAGGGACAAGTAATTAAGACAAAAACCCTACTGTATCTCTCACGCATTTATTCGTGCTGAGAAAACCCGCTCAGTGGAAGCACGTAACGGACGAGCAGCAGAATGCAACAAGTACAGGACACAGGAAAAAGATTTCACGTCAGGAAACAAACAGGAACCTTCACGTCTGGAAGTGTCTCCAACACATAACTACACAAGTCTGTATCCACAAAAATACAACCTATTCCTCTTGACCAAAACCTATCTCTTGCTAAGATGAAAAATAAATAGGAACACATACTTCTGCCCAGCTGCTTCACATAAATGTTCATTTCTGCAATAAAGCTCCTGTAAGAGAAAGAAAAAACACAGAAGTAAAATTAGCAATAGCTGACACTGACACTGCAAAAAGATCCACTCTTTCCAGCTTTTCTAGGCAAAGTTGTCTGCTCTTAGTCAGAGACTCTCAACTCATCAATGGCCAAGGTGAAGTATTACTGCTTTTAGTCCCTTTAACCCCAAGTTAGTAGGTAACAGACCTGCTATCAATAGAACCAGTAGATCTAGTTATGAAGAGACCAGCAAGTGTCACTGCTCAGCATTGAAATTTAAATCCACATTATTAGGAAATACACTCTGAGCTGACTAAATTTAAGGCAACAGTTATGAAGCACATAGTGTATTAATGTAACATGAACATGCATCCCACTGTACCATTAACTGTATCCCACATTCTATTAATGTAACCCACTAGCATCCTGGGTTTTTTAACCCAGATGCAACACTTCATACAGCTCCCCCGGGCTTTGCCACACATCTGGCCAGCTCAGAGCACAGACAAAACTGAACCAGGTCATTTTGTCAAAGACCATTGAACGTATCTGCACAGATGGGGACAGAGTACTTGAATTTTCATGAAGCCTTCACTGCCGTACTCTGAGAACAGCACAGAGTCAAAAGCCACTCTGTACAACCAAGGTAACAGTTTTCCTAGGAGGCACGTACCCAATTCATTTAAAGTTCAGCTGGTATATTCATTTAGGCTTAAAAAAAAAAATAAATGAGGAAGCCATATGTCAGAGGACAATGGAAACCAAGATCCATGTTCTTAAGAATCACAAAATGAAGTCTTTATTTGTACAATGGAAAACTAAAGCTGAATTCTTCTCAGACAGGATTTAAACTGGCCAATGTGATTCAAGATGTATGACTGGGCTTTATCAGCCTGAGAACCTCTTTGAAAGCTATGCCTTGGTACTTCCACAGCTGCAGGCAGAGCCCTGCACCTGTGTCCTGCATTTCTTGCTGTAAGCAAACAAACAAAGAAAGGTTAAGTGAGGGATTTAAATTTCCAGTTAGAACTCCTTCCTGTACTACCAGTGAACTGACCTTCAGGCACAGTGGCTTCAGGGGTCGAAGGCCACTGGCTTTCAGGGACACAACAGCCAACTAAGGCACCGATGACAGTATGTTTCTCAGCCAGGCCTATAGTCAGCATTCAATCTCATTCTCCTCCACCTAAGGGGAGAACAGCAACACCAGAAATCAGTTTGCAGCAGAATCCCGTGTGATTGTTTAGCACAGCCTCAGCAGCACCACGTGTGAACATGCACAGATCTTTGGTGTCGCTCGCTGCTACCACCTTCAGCAAGAACACAAGGAGACAAAGGCATCCCACGCTACTGACGGACTCCCCAGAGAGAAAAGCCACAGCCCAGCCCTTAACATGTAGTTCACGTTTTGTGTAGTAGGAGAGCCATGCTTATATTTACAGTTCATACCCTCCTGTCATAATTAAAGTTTCGAATCCAAAGTTTCCAGCTATAGCTAAGTTCTTATACCATGTGACTGTGATTAAATTTACAACAAAAAATACATTTCTCCTCTAAAAATCTCTGAAAGCAAGGCTGACATTTGTATTATAAAGACCATTACTTAAAAAAAAGAAGAGAATGGTAAGATACACAGCAACTGGTATTTCTTAAAAAAAAAAAAAAAACAAAACAACTTTACTGTCCTCAAAACTCTAAAATGTCTGAAATTACTCCTCTCCTATTATGTATGTCAAAAGGATTAAATCCCATAGTTTGTCCTCTCTCCATGAGCACCAGAACATGAGGACTGTTCCTCGCCTATCCAACCATTTGCAGCAGACCGTTTAGTTCCCCGTTCTGCCATTCCACCCAGGCCACTTCATACAAGTTTGCCTGGATGGAGCAGATAGGGAAACCCTGAAATGCTCTTCAGAAGTGCAAGTGGGCTGAGAAACATACTGTCATCTACGGCCAACTCATTCTGCTCAAGACTATGTGTATTTATAAACATGGGGTTTCATGTTTTTACCTGCAGATGGCATAAAATCAGCTGCACAAATAATCCGCAAGTTACAGAACTAAAGTGCTCAAGGACTGCATCTGTAACAAGCATATTTAAAATTCCTGCTACTGTATAAACTAATTTTTATGTTTCTCATTTAAGGGAAAGAAATACCCTTGCCTGAGAACATAAATGGACATGAAGTGACTTGAAGACAGGCTTTAAATGAGAATTTATAACTTTCTGACACAAATACACATATTTTTGATGTTCTAAATGCTTTTAAGACTCAATAACAATAGAATACCAGAAGTCTTGTAAGTGAGACTCTCATGGAAGACTAATAAGAAAATTTATTCATCTTTCAAAAAATAATAACTCTCATACAACACAAAAGCCCAACAAAAAGAATCCAGGAGCGGCATGCCATTGTTTCTGACCACAAAACATTAATATTTCACACGAAATATAATGTCCTGAAATTCTGATGATTTGTAAAGACTATTCCAAACAGGGCTAAAAAAATAGACCCCCATCCATGCTTTACGCACAATCTGTTATGCATTATTTTCATCTGGGAGAAGCACATGCCAATTTTCTGATGGAATGGGCAGAAAGTCAAAAACCAGTAATACCCAGCTGGTTTCAACTGAAATTTAAGACCCTCAAAACTCCTCTAGGAAGATTCTGCCAAACTGATTTTTCCAGTAGGAGATTCTGCTGCCAAAAAAAAGTTAGTTATAATAAAAATATAAATAGCATGTCCTTAAATCACGTTTCTATATAAGCAAATGTAAGCATATTTAATATTTACTCAAACGTATAAAGGTAACTACAGTCATACAATTATGGCAAGCAACTGAACACTGTTTCCATTCAAACTGAGACCTCCATAGTTAGCTAGAGCACACCAAGCACTGTAAAGCTGCACATCCACAAAAAAACATCAGACAAATTTCTTCAGAGTCACTCAGATCTCAGCACCAAGGTTCGTCACCCCCGTTTCAAGATTTCAAGACCCCAGATGACCTCTAGAGGTCCCTTCCAGCCTAAACCATTCTATGATTCTGTGATGCAGGGAAGTTGCTGGTCCTGCTAATGAACACTGGTTACTTAAAAGGCACTACAAAGCATTCCAAAGAAGTGTGATGAGCCACTGTCACTGAAAAGATTTCTAACCCTTCATACACAGAAGGTGACTAAAACTACCAAACCTGTTGTGATCAGGCCCCATTTCCGTGTATTTATATTCTTCCTGAATCTTCTCTTTTTGGAAAAACTGGTTCAGACGTGCCTTGGCATTTTCCAAGGTCCAACTCCCATGAAGATCAGCATTTAAGTCCACTTCTGACTCTGAAGTCTAATGTGGGGGAAAAAAAGTATCATTTGCTGGTTTCTAATAGATTTCAGTTCAAAACTTTCTTATAAGAGTCTTTGAAATAACTTGTCTAGATACTATAAAATAGCTAAGACCTTACTACAGAAAATGCTAAAAATTCCTTTTTCCTTACTTCCATGACAAAACATCTATACAAATTGATTCCACAGCATCCAGACCTATTTATTTTGCTTTCAGCTTAAACAAGTTACCTTTGTTAAAAGCCAGCAGGTAAAGCTGCAGATTAAGTTAAAACCAACAGCAAAATATCAAACAAAAACTGCAAACCTGAGTATAAATGGCAGTAACAAACAATAGGGAGTGACAAATAGCTTTTCAAGAAGGAAAGTAAAGGGGGATTACATAGAATGACTTACTGCCTGTGCTTCTTGCTCCTCTTTCTTTGAATAGTAATCTTTCAAATTTGCACCCCGATCCCACTGAGCTCCACGATTGCCACAGGTTCCAGGTGCTGCACCTGGGCCATTGCCTACCACGTGGGAAAAAAAACAACAAAACCCAACAAAATAACTCTGACGGAACGTGTTCTTAGCAGTGGGGAGGTACTGCCTGGCAACCTCAACAGGCCATGACTGGTCTATTAGATCTCATGCAGTCATTCACACCTCCACCTCAGAACTACAATGACTCCCATCTTCTGCCTGCGGAATTATGCTCTTTGGGAGAAACACCCCCACCCAAATCTATACACACCTATTACACCCACACATACATAAACAACTCTTTTCTCAGTCTTACCTATTTCAGCCCCTATAAGCAAATGCGGAGGTGGAGGTCCACCCAAAGTAGAACTGGAACCAGTAACATCTCTAGCTACTTCATGTCCATCAGGGGTATCACCAGCTGCTGGCTAGGAGAGAGAAGGAAGGGAAATATCAGCACATTCAGATGGAATAATTCTTTTTACTATTTAGCTAAAAAAATGATCAGGCAGTTTAGAGAGATTATGCACCATTACACAATAGTTACAGTAACCCCTGATAGTAACAACCTTTTAAAAACTGAAAGGAATACAATTGCTGAATGTTTGGCTTTTTGTGGGTGTTCTATAAAAGGATTTGCAACCACTAAGCAGCCCTGACTTATGGAAGTTCAGCAATTACAATACCAACTGTTTCAGCATCCATGAGAAGTAACAGATACTGGTCCCTGTTGTACATCTGAGGGAACTCAGATACACCTTACCAACACACACACAAAAAGAAGCCATAAGAAAACATTAAAGCCTCAGAAAACGACAAAATTATGGTTAATCTTTACAATTTGAATCCTTCCCGTTTTCAGATGTGTATCTTTACCTACCTGACCACATCACCTCTGCTTTATTTAAGACATAGAATACATTACCCCTGTGTTTCTTCTAGGAAACTAACTGCTCCAACACTGGTACAGGTCTGTCTACCACAGGGTTTCACCTGGGCTAATGAGGCAAGGACACTGATTCCACTGGACAAACTATGGATCTGACACAGGAACATCCTCAACAAGGTGCTAAAAGGAGACTCTTCCCTCCCAACATTGAACGTGGAGCTCCATGCTTTATTTACTGTTCTCTAAAATGACTGTAAAGACAGAGCTACCCTCCTGCTCAGCTCTTCTGTGATAGTCACGAAACATCGTAAAAAGAAGCGATCCTGGTAGACACACGAGGAGCTAAGGCAGAAAGCCTCTACAGTTAAAAAATGCCAGGTCTTTCATGTCTGCTTCAAGGTGTCTGTGATTTTGTTGTTGCTGTTGTTATTTTCTTTGGTCAGCAATTAACAGAAGTGATAAAAGTGATCCCAGTGATAAAAGGAAGGCTAGGAAAGATGTGGGCCCTCTCCTGAAGGAAACGGGAGACCTCATGATGAGGGATATGGAGAAGGCTGAGGTACTCAACAACTTCTTTGCCCCAGTCTTCACCAGCAAAGGCTTCAGCCACATCACCCAAGTTGCAGAAGGCAAAGGCAGTGTCCTGATTTGGGACAGAACAGAACTAATTCTGTTCAGTGGTTTTACTTTACGGCTAAAGCTCTTCTAATTAACTGCACTGTCTGAAGCTAACAGCACATTTTCACAGACACTGTCTGCTTCTAGCAGGGATAACCCTCCATGTTTAGAGTTACTACCAAGGACTGGTGTGCAGACCAAGGACACTGCTAAATCCCGGGTACCACACGAAGAGGGGCAGAAAGTACAAGCTACACCTGCAGGGAGGAGTGGACAAGACAAGTGACCCTAAATTGACCAGGGGGGTATTCCAGCCCATATCCCTCATATTCAGCATAAAACCTGAAGGATCGTGAGGAGCAAGCCCTTCTGTCTCCATTCCACCTTCTTCCTCTTTGTCTGCTCCTTCAATGGCCGGCATCTGAGGAGGACTCCATCCATTCTGCCTTTGATCCCGAGCCCCATGTTCCTGAACTCAATCCCAGAATCCAGCTCCTGGACCCAGTTGCCATCTGTGGCCGAGTCCAGCCTGGGACTTTTCCCCAGGGCCTGCTCCACAGCACTGGGGGTGACAGTGACATATTGCCATTGGTGGGGAGTTGGGTTCCATATTGGCTTTGTCTATATTTGTACATATTCCATTCTATTAGTAGCAGTAGTAGTAGTTTTTTCATTAAAGCTGTTTAACTTTTCCAATCGATAAGTCTCTCCCCCTTATTCCCTTTCTCTTCCCCTTTGAGGGGAGGGGCAGCCCTGACCCTAAACTGTGACAGGCAGGGACTGGAAGAAGGAAGATCCACCCACTGTAAGTGAAGATCAGGTTCAAGACCATCTACAGAACCTAAAGGTGTACATGTTGATGGGACCTGATGAGATCCATTCATGGGTCTTGAGGGAACTGAGTTGCTAAGCCACTTTCCATCATATTTAAAAAGTAATGGCAGTCTGGTGAAGTTCCCACAGGTTGGAATAGGGGAAATATAACCACTGTCTTCAAAGGGAGAAAAAAGGAAGACCAGGAAACTACAGGCCAGTCAGTCTTACCTCTACCTGGCAAGATCACAGAGCAGATCCTCCTTGAAGGCTCTACTAAGGCACAACAAAAATGAGGAGGTGATTGGTGGCAACCAGCATGGCTTCACCAAGGACAAATTATGCTCGACACATTTGATCACTTTTTACAATGGAATTACAGCATCAGGGAATAAGGGAAGAGCAACTGGTGTCATTTACCTGGACCAGGACTTGGACACCATCCCACATGGCATCCTGGTCTCTAAATTGGAAAGATACAGAGTTGATGGACAGACCATTCAGCGGATAAAGAATTGCCTGGATGGTCGATGTCTAAGTGGGGACCAGTGATGAGTGGTGTTCTGCAGGGATCAGTACTGGGACCAGTGCTGTTTAACATCTCAGTCAGTGACAGGCAGTGGGATCAGCTGCACCCTCAGCAAGTCTGCCATACAGAGGGGCCTCAACAGGCTCGAGAGGTTGTCCTAGTACAATATTATATATCAAAACATGTATTTAAATAAATTCCCAGTGTCACATGTATGTACTTGGCACTTTTAAAGTCTGGCTGCACCTTAGAGGAACTCTGAATTCTCACCAGTTATGCAGACCAATACACAGATGTCTTTAACAGATCCCCCTACAACACTCTCTGTACGTACTCCAGCTCCACAAGCACAAGTCCTGCACGCTCAGTCTTCACTCCACAAGGTGCCAGACTGAACTGCAGGGATGAAATGCAACTGGAGGCACGTAGCACTGCAAATACAGGTTAGCTTTTGGTAAGGAGAAAGAGCAGCTTACTCCAAAGGCAGGGACGTCCTCTCTCTTCATTTCATTCACCCGAACCAAGTAATTGACAAAGTCTCGAGCAGCATTGGTCTGTGCATCTTTCTTGTTAGTGGAATTGCCCATGCCAACATAGTTGAAGCCTTCCACTCGAACCTGCCAATGAAAACAGACATCTGTGGTGTGGACAAGTGAAAAGGTCATGAAAACCAGCAATGCTGAAACACTGCATTCAGCTGCTAATAGCATAGGAGAAACATTATTGCTGTGTATTGTAACATAACATTCTACCAATCTACATATGCATGTTTCTGTAGGTTTTGAATGTATACTTTACACCTATTAAAGCAAACACCCACAGTCCATTTTCAGAAACCATGAGCGTTTCCCAAAACCTTGCTGACAAAAATGAATCGGTGCAGGAAGAGGTAGTGCAAACACCCAGCAGCAAACTCTGCCCTGGTTCATGTTCCTCATCCTTAATACCAAACCCTCAGGAAACAAGGACAGGTGCAAGCTTCCGTGTCCTCTACTGTAGCCTCATGTTATTGCACTTAGCAAGAGGCAATGGATTTTAGGAACTTCAAGCCAAGCTTTAGAGCAGCAATTTTACATCCTGCCAGCTTACTTGACATACTGCTGCAAAACTTGACCATGGGAACTTTATTGTAAAATATATGGTTAGTCTGAATTTTGAATATAATACTCTGCAACCACTGCTTCTCATCTTAAACAGTTACTGTCCTTTCACATTTACTGTCAGCAACTCCATGTCATTTCAGCTTCCCTTACACATTTCTTCCATTTTACTTCCATTCCTCACCGTGCAGACCATGTAAACAGCTTTTTACTACAGCTGGTTGTTCTTAGTAAGCAGGCTTGCATATAACATTCCAGCTAGTGCCAAGCAGAGTTTTGCACACCACTAGGGCCAGACTGCTTTGTCCTCTGATGGCAAGTCACACCGGTAGCCAATACCCATTTTCTCATCAAACAAACTCTGACAGCATTTTGCTTAACAGGCCCCAAACGATGAGCCCCAACTTTCAGCAGACTATCAATCTACAAGTACAACAGTATCAACCAACCAAACAGTAACCATACTGGATTCACAGCCATCATATCAGACTGTAAAAATTAGCAAATGAGAGCATTTTAGTGAGGCCTATCCTTTTACCTGTTAAGTTTCTACAGATGTTCATGGAGAAACAACATACAAAAAACAGAACAACAACATTGCTGTTCATACAACCACTTCATGCACATAACGCTCCATCTCAGTTATAATGCCTTAAAATTGGTCTAACACCACTGTGTTTCTCAGCTTTGTTACTGGTGGGGAAGACAAATGGGGGAGGAAGGCACAGTGCTTAGTGCAAATCTATGGCATCACTCACAAACTAACTCTTTGACAAATGACCTTGCACTTGGTGTCAGCATTCTGCTGGCGCATCCACAATATTTGGAGCCAGGAACAGAGTAATATTACAGCAGCATGCAGACTAGCAGCCAATCTGACAAGAATTTTTTAATGCATCTCAAAGCAAACTCAAGAGAGGACCAAATCTCTGGAAGGTAACACACAGCACCCCTTTCTGACAGCCTAACAGCAAGAAGGGTCACGCACGTGATGTAAACAAACACATCACCCTCACAAACCCAATTCCTTCCTACTTCAAGAGCTCTGCACCAGCCCGCTCTGCTTTCACAAACCCGCTGAGCGCGCTGTACAGCCCCCCCGCATGAGGAGCCTGGACGCTGGCTGCAGGGCGGCCGAGCCGCCCGCCCTCCCCAGGCACTGCCCGCGCCGCCCGCAGAGGGTCCGGCAA